AACAATATATTAGACAGTGGATGGTTGACTACAATAAAATGGTCCACCAAGCGCTATCAGTACTGTAAAAAAGGAAAAATCTGAATATGCAGTTAAATTACTAAAAGTTAAAATCAAAATTGAAAGCAAAATATATAAATGGGTTATAATCCAAGTAGTTCAGTTGAATCCACAGTCAATGGAAGAACTTTAAAATTAATATCGAAATGCTCAGTGCATGAAGTCTAAACAGTCGAGCTGGGTCCTCTACGAGGTGAAGCTGTAATAAAGTTTTTAAATATAGGATTAAATTTAGTACAATTTAAATTAATTTGAGTATTAAGACAGTGAGAGTTTTCATTTGTTTCCCTTGTAATCTCCAAATCTTCCAATAAATCCAACTCAAGATAGTTTTTCTTTCTACTAATGTCATGTAAGATAGATGAACCAGAATTGACGTTAAAATTATGGTTGCTGGATATTAAGTGTTGACCAAAACTTGAAGAGTTTGGTCTTTTCAAATGTTCCAGAAAATTAATTCACTTCGATAAAAAACTCGAAGTTTATGGTTGAAAAAAGTTTTTATGTGATAAACGTTTATAGACTTACTTCGTCAGTTGTGGCCTATCCGACATGAGCAGAATGTCATACATGTAAATTTGGACATAACAATACAATACACAAAGACAAACAAACACTTTAAAATTTTTAAAAATGGAGAAGCTACATGTTATATAGAAGCCGGAGACAGAATGGCTCCCGGTCTGGCGGAAATATTGAGATGACATGTGACAAATGACAGCTTGTAAAGGGCAGTTACAATAGATATGTGATCTGCACCTTTCAAAATTCTATGAAACTAAGTATTGACCAAAGGTCCAACTGACACCACTATAGGAAATCAACTGATGAAATATAAAATTATATAGTATATTTTTTTATGTAGATTGAATAATCCAAATCTCACACTCAAACCTGTCTATAATAATTAGGATGTTAGTTTGAGAGCAATTGAAGTTGACATAAAGTATGAATGTAAGAAAAAGACTAAACAATATATTAGACAGTGGATGGTTGACTACAATAAAATGGTCCACCAAGCGCTATCAGTACTGTAAAAAAGGAAAAATCTGAATATGCAGTTAAATTACTAAAAGTTAAAATCAAAATTGAAAGCAAAATATATAAATGGGTTATAATCCAAGTAGTTCAGTTGAATCCACAGTCAATGGAAGAACTTTAAAATTAATATCGAAATGCTCAGTGCATGAAGTCTAAACAGTCGAGCTGGGTCCTCTACGAGGTGAAGCTGTAATAAAGTTTTTAAATATAGGATTAAATTTAGTACAATTTAAATTAATTTGAGTATTAAGACAGTGAGAGTTTTCATTTGTTTCCCTTGTAATCTCCAAATCTTCCAATAAATCCAACTCAAGATAGTTTTTCTTTCTACTAATGTCATGTAAGATAGATGAACCAGAATTGATGTTAAAATTGTGGTTGCTGGATACTAAGTGTTGACCAAAACTTGAAGAGTTTGGTCTTTTCAAATGTTCCAGAAAATTAATTCACTTCGATAAAAAACTCGAAGTTTATGGTTGAAAAAAGTTTTTATGTGATAAACGTTTATAGACTTACTTCGTCAGTTGTGGCCTATCCGACATGAGCAGAATGTCATACATGTAAATTTGGACATAACAATACAATACACAAAGACAAACAAACACTTTAAAATTTTTAAAAATGGAGAAGCTACATGTTATATAGAAGCCGGAGACAGAATGGCTCCCGGTCTGGCGGAAATATTGAGATGACATGTGACAAATGACAGCTTGTAAAGGGCAGTTACAATAGATATGTGATCTGCACCTTTCAAAATTCTATGAAACTAAGTATTGACCAAAGGTCCAACTGACACCACTATAGGAAATCAACTGATGAAATATAAAATTATATAGTATATTTTTTTATGTAGATTGAATAATCCAAATCTCACACTCAAACCTGTCTATAATAATTAGGATGTTAGTTTGAGAGCAATTGAAGTTGACATAAAGTATGAATGTAAGAAAAAGACTAAACAATATATTAGACAGTGGATGGTTGACTACAATAAAATGGTCCACCAAGCGCTATCAGTACTGTAAAAAAGGAAAAATCTGAATATGCAGTTAAATTACTAAAAGTTAAAATCAAAATTGAAAGCAAAATATATAAATGGGTTATAATCCAAGTAGTTCAGTTGAATCCACAGTCAATGGAAGAACTTTAAAATTAATATCGAAATGCTCAGTGCATGAAGTCTAAACAGTCGAGCTGGGTCCTCTACGAGGTGAAGCTGTAATAAAGTTTTTAAATATAGGATTAAATTTAGTACAATTTAAATTAATTTGAGTATTAAGACAGTGAGAGTTTTCATTTGTTTCCCTTGTAATCTCCAAATCTTCCAATAAATCCAACTCAAGATAGTTTTTCTTTCTACTAATGTCATGTAAGATAGATGAACCAGAATTGATGTTAAAATTGTGGTTGCTGGATACTAAGTGTTGACCAAAACTTGAAGAGTTTGGTCTTTTCAAATGTTCCAGACCAAACTCTTCAAGTTTTGGTCAACACTTAGTATCCAGCAACCACAATTTTAACATCAATTCTGGTTCATCTATCTTACATGACATTAGTAGAAAGAAAAACTATCTTGAGTTGGATTTATTGGAAGATTTGGAGTTTACAAGGGAAACAAATGAAAACTCTCACTGTCTTAATACTCAAATTAATTTAAATTGCACTAAATTTAATCCTATATTTAAAAACTTTATTACAGCTTCACCTCGTAGAGGACCCAGCTCGACTCTTTAGACTTCATACACTGAGCATTTCGATATTAATTTCGGAAGAACAAACACCTAAGACAAGACACAAAAACAAGAATCTATAAAGCAGCAATTAGACCTATATTAACATACACGGCGGAGACAAGACCTGACACATCTAAAAGGAGACGACTACTAGAAACAACAGAGATGAAAATACTCCGACGAATATCAGGGAAAAGTCTGTTGGATAGGAAGCGAAAACATAAGAAGAGCATGCAATATAGAAGACATAAATGGATGGGTGACAAAACGGAAACAGGAGTGGAACGAACACATTAGTAGAATGGCAGAGGATAGGATAGTACGAATAGCACGAGATAAGTCACCAAATGGACGAAGAAGTATTGTCAGACCAAGAAAAAGATGGTGCGATAATTTAAACAATTTAGGAGTCTAATATTGAAGAAGAAACATGTTTTAAAGCTACATAAAGAAGTAAGAAGAAGACTTAAGAGAAATAAAGCTATTATACAATATATAAAATTATAGATATATGTTAAATAAAAAACTTGTCCAGACACCTGCATAATTTCTAAGGCTGTAACATTTTTTTATTTTATTTTCCAACATACAACGCTACTGAATGTCCATGTCACTTTGAAATCTTTTTTACTGTTGCTAACTTTTAAAAGGGCAACAGAACTTCCGTCCTAGGTAAAGGACTACAGAAAGTTCATCCTGTTATAACCTCTGGAGGTAATTTTAAGGCGCCTGAATCGACTTATATTACTTCTCTCCCATAAATTTTAGTTCCTTATTTAAAATAATAAGTTTGGATGGGTTAGAATTTAATTTGACATATGTTCGAGTACCTAGCCGAAAAAAAAAAGTATCTACTTTATAGTAGTTTATACTTTATAAAGTTACTTTATACTCGTTACTATCCAATACCCCAAGTACCGAATAAAAAACCGAGAATTATTATCGTTACTTTAAATATATGGGTATTTTGTTTACACTGTAATCGGCATTATCTCTTTGTTTGTTTATCTCGTTACTTTTGAATATTAGCCGCATTCTTTCAGCAAATTTTGAATGATATCATCGCATACTCAGCAGAAAAGATCTTAGGCCGATAAGATTTGTGGTATTTAAATTCCTTGTAACTAAATTATAAGGAAAAAATATGCTAACCTAATTATATTTTTTATCAGCTAAGGTGACACATTTTTAAAAAGTTTCGATACGATATTACTGTCGGCGTCGCAAAGCAAAGATATTATTTTATTATTAGAAGGGGCTATTCTCAAAATCTGGACAATTAATTTCAGAGCGAAGAAGTAGTGTGCTGGGAAAGAATGTACAAAATATTTTATTTTTAGATTGTAATTATGACCTCTGAGTACGTGTCAAATTTTTAAGTGTTCTTGTAATGAATATTTTGATTCGCTATGTATGTTTATGGTATTTTTCGTAATGCACAAGTCAAATTTTCCAAATTTTTGTTAATACTTCTTTGCGTCTCATAGAGTCTCTAAGCATACACCCGAAATAGTATACTCCCTAAAACCACACTCAGTCCTAACTGCAAGACGCAAGAGTCTCGCAGGCTTAGTCTTGTTCTTGCTCAAGTCTTGCACGGTTAGTCTTGGTCTTGGTCTTGCAAAAATTAGGCAGTCTTGGTCTTGGTCTCGGTCTTGCAAAAACGCAAGAACAAGACCAAGACTGCAAGACCAAGACCGATTTTGGGCAACACTACTTCGTATACGATTTTTAGAATTAGTCAACATGATATTTTGCATTACAAAAACTTATTTCATGATAATACCAAAATAAATCTACCTTGTCTTGCCTGTAAGTTTGTAAACACTTTTTAAATCTTAAACTTTCCAAAGAATGATATAAACATTACTACAATGACGTAAGTGATATACCGTAGTTCTCGTCATTTAATCCGTACTGATGCCCATCACTGTCGGTCCAGGAAGTCACACTGACAAAATCGGCAATAAACGAGGGTATTGAGCATTTAAGCACTGCAGCATTTCCACGGATGACGTACTCGTTATTTACTTCGGTCTGGTAAAACTGTTGGACCACTGGAAAAGGGTGAAAAATGTGCATGTTTTTAAAAAGTATTTAGTTGCTTATGTATCATATTTTAGAGAGTTTTGATAAATGTAGTAATTGGGTAATGAAATATACATTTCATACCAAATACTTTCCGTACATGTACAACGAAACGATTCTATTAAATTTAGTACCATCGGGAGCCTGTGGATAAAAATTCTCGTTTTGATCAGTATGCCAGGAAACGACGCTGACGAAATCGGCGACAAATGACGGAATTTGACATTTCAAAATGGCGGCGTTTCCCCTGATGGCATATTCCTTGTTTACGTCAGTGTCATAAAATTGGGCGACAACTAAAAGATGACGAATTATGAGTTGATTTATTGTTGTCGTTCAGATCTTATTATTCAAATTAAAAATAAAAGTTTTGTAGAGATTTTTCTTAGTGTTTTAATAAATACTAGCGGACCAACTCGACATCGAGTTTTTTAAATGAAATTTTTATTTTGCGAGAAAAATTAAGAGATCAATACAAACAATATAAGCAAGAATATACATAACATTTATCAATAATAATGCAAGTAAAAAGTGTATTAAATATCACGAAATATTTCGTCGAAAACAATGTTTTTTGTTACAATGTCTCCATTTTCTGAAAACTTTTGCTTGGCACCGGGAGTTATGTAAACTTTTACTTTTTACTTTTTAATAAAAACGAAACCGGAAGTCGACCTCAAAACCGGAATGCAATTTTTAGTTCATCAAATGTCGACATGGATATCATTTAGCAGTTAATTTTGCATGCTGATCACGAATCCGGTGTCAGATTTGCTCTATCTTGACGTTTTATGCGCGTTTCGGGTCACTTCCGGTGTCGGATCGCAACCGGAAGTACATATTTAGATTCGTCTCGACGAGACCTTTCGATCCATATATACATTGTGGGGTCTAAAACTTAAAGTAAATTTTAACTTCCGGTCATCTCAAAACCGGAAGTGAATTTTTGTACCAAAAGTATATCTTGACAATCTCATACGTAATACTAATAATATTCCGAAAAAATATTTTAATTATCTAATATGGTTTTTGAGTAAAGTGGTGGACAAGAAAAGGGCTTAGCGTTTTAGTATATAAGATTTTCGCAGATGCATATATAAAGATTGTAACATGGCTTTTGAGATTAACTAGAAAATTGTTGTTTTTTCTCGTGTTATCCAAAGAAATGTTATTAAATTACGTCTAGACAATATGTCGTAATTTCTGCTTCGAGCTTTTATGAGGAGGATGAGGAACAATTGATTTATGAAAAGTAAATTCATGTGGATTTTTTGGTCTCCGATATTTTATGGTATTTTAAAATTCAAAAGTGATAAAGATAATCACTGGTAAGCTCTAAATAATTATTGAAAGAGAGCTGACAAGGTATAACATTGAAATCTCTGGACTAATTGAAGGCTAAGAGGGCCATTTTAGAATACATAATGGCAATTATATTAACTTCTCTGGCGGTGAAACCCAGAACTATACAGGGTTTGCTATTCTGATTTAACCAAGATAGTCTAGATCTCACCATGGCTATGAGTGATAGGATAGTTCGCCTTAAACTGGAAAGTAAGTAACATAAACTCAATATCATACAAGTATATGCAACAACCAGCATAGCAGATGACACAAAGGTCGAGGAATTCTACGAAAAATTGGAAACAGCAATTACTAACATTCCAAATAAAGAGCTAACCTTAATATGTAGTGGCTTTAATGCAAAAGTCGTAAGACTACACAAAATGATGACCTAAAGAATGTACCGGAAAAGTTTGGAATAGGTCATAGAAATGAAGGGGAGACCGCTTAATCGCATTTGCTATCACAAATAACTATTCTATGATGAATACTCGAGTTGAAACCATGTGCGCCGGTTTTATAATTGGAAAAGTCGGGAAATTGGAAAAAAAATGACAAAAAGCGAGGGACGAAAGACTTTTGGAGTTGCAGTTGGATCAAGCAGTACTACTAGGAAAGTATGAACAACATTAGGGTAGACAGGAATCAGTTGACTTGCAGGTTTATTTAAAATAATTATGGAAGTGGGACGAATGCCAGAATGAATTAATGAAGAAGCAATATATTAGTAGTTGTTTACAAGAACTAGTTTACTAACAAGTAGGGGTCCCTCAGTACTCTACGCAAGACAGACTGTTCGGAGGAGTCCTCAACCCTACACGGCGCGTCCCAATGGCTGATAGGGAAGTTCCTGTAGATATGCAGGACAGGTACGAATAAGGCTTAGCCAAATAAGTACCCACGGATCAACTGAGGACATGACACAAGTCAGCAGCTGTGTCTTTAGTGGCCCATGGCTGAGAAATACCATTCATAACAGGTAGGGTACCACAAAGTCACAGGCGGCAATCAAGTTGGTTTAACCGGCTATGATACTGCGAACACTGAACACTGTGTTCGTAGTGTTTTAAATGCCAATATACCCCTTAAAACCGCGATGTCAGATTTTAAAATAAATACAGATTTACCCAGGTGAGTAGGATGCGTCCAAAATCTCACACTGATTTATCAGTCTGTCCAAGGATTCTGGGGAGGGGACAAAAAGCTGACTATACGGAAACCCAAAAACCCCATAACTCTTTACATTAGTACATACAATGCCAGAAGTCTACTGTCCGAGGAGAGATTCACAGAAATGGAAACTGAAATGAATAAAATTAAATAGGATGTCATAGGTATCAGCGAAGTTAGAAAGAGAGGTGAAACTTTAAAAACACTGAAATCAGGGCATATATTCTATCAGACTGGCCCTGAAACTACATCAGTTGGAGGCATCGGTTTCTTTGTCCATAAAAACCACGCGAACAAGATAATAAACATCCAAAGTATATCATCTAGAGTGGCATATCTTATTCTGAAGTTGAACAGTAGATATCAACTCAAAATTATCCAAGTATACGCTCCAACAACAGACCATACAGACGAAGAAATCGAAATATTTTATGACGATATATCTACTGCGCTTAATGATTCTCGTACTCAATTTACAATTTTATGTGGCGATTTCAACGCAAAAATAGGTGTAAAAGAAGCAGAGCTAGAAACATCCTTGGGAAAATTCGGTTCCCCAGGAAGAAATGACAGAGGAGAAACGCTACTAGGATTCCTACTCCAGAATAATTTATTCAACATGAACAGCTTCTTTTACAAAAAAAATGCACAGAAGATGGACCTGGGAAAGTCCAAACAGTAGAACAAGGAACGAAATCGACTACATCATAAGTGACAAAAAACAAATAATTAAAGATGTAACAGTACTCAACAAGTTCACCACAAGAGACTACATTATAATGCGCTCCCTAACTTTCGCGTGATTGGTTGGTGGGTGGGTCCCAATTTAAAAATTGGCGGGTTTCATGTTTATTAAAATGACAATAAAATTGAGGTATTGTGGCACAGTATATCGCTAAACAATTTATTAGCAATATATTGTGGTATTGGTACAAAGCGGATGATATTCACATTTTAGGATTAAGCTGACTAGTACAGTTTTATTAGAAATTAAAATTTATTTTTCTTTTGACATTATGTAGGTAAAATTAAATTCTGACATTGTGTTTATTTAATTTTGATATGCTAGTGATGCTTTTTTTTATTAGATATATAGATATTGTTTTAATTTTTTTGTTTAGGTAATTTTTTATTAAGATTTAGAGGTTCCTCTTATTATTTTGATTTCTAGAACATTCGTTACCATTATTATTCTCATTAGCTTTCTCTATGTGGAATCGGCTTCTCTAAGTATTTTCCTCTAAACTTTTCGGTTCTCTTCCAGGGACTAAGTACCTCTCCGCTTTTTGTATGAGATTATGGTTTTTCAGAAACATGTAATTTCTGTTCATCCCCTTTTTTACTGCCCTACATTCAGTACCATACATCATAGCTGGTCTAAAGGCAGTCCTATACAATTTAGGAGAGCTTTAGAGGGGTTTTCCTTCGCCATTGCACCAATAACGGCCCCCCCTCCTTTGATTTCCCAGATTTTTAATAAAGAATAAAGATATTTTAGATATAGCTATTTAGTGTTTTATTTGGTTTGCAATCGTTATTTCCAGTAAACCTCTGCTTCATTTTGTTGACAATGACAATTTTTCATAGCACTCAATTCACAATATATCTTTTTATTATCCTACATTTGTGGTAAAATCTAACAGAATTCAGTGTAAGGTTCTAAAAAATGAAAATGGATAAATGTCAATTTGGATTTAGGCAAGGCAGGTCTACAACAAGCAATTTTTATTAAAAGAGCTAATTTAACAATTTAGAGTGAATTTACATTGTATTATTAAACTTGAGAAAGCACATGATGAAGATATCAGAAACCTACTGTGGCAGAGATTAAGTAGGAAAGGAGTGCCGGCTGAATATGTGAGTGGAGTATGAGCAAGTAACAACTATAATAGTGTTAAAACAACTATTATAGTGTTAGAACGATTACAGGTGAAACTGGCAAATTTTGTGTAAAAATGGGTGAAAATCAGGGTTTCGCCCATATTTATTCTCATTTGTGCTGGATTAGATAACAACTGAACCTCCTGGGTATTAGTAGAAAAGAGTAGCGGAGACAGGTCCTTGAAGAAAAATGATTAAAATTAAGTTGGATACAAACAAAATATTTAGAATATTCTTTTAAAGATGAAATTTCAAGACCAGATAGAGTAGTTGGCTTGGATAGACAAGAACTCATAAAAGATGATAATGTTCGGCTTTTAGGATTGGTATTACCGTTTTATCTCTAATATTTCAATTAAAGGTAAAGGAAAGAGGCAAATTGAGTGATGTATGATAAAAAAGGTACCAAGAAAACTAAAAGGTAAATTGTATAGGACTGCCTTTAGACCAGCTATGATGTATGGTACTGAATGTAGGGCAGTAAAAAAGGGGATGAACAGAAATTACATGTTTCTGAAAAACCATAATCTCATACAAAAAGCGGAGAGGTACTTAGTCCCTGGAAGAGAACAGAAAAGTTTAGAGGAAAATATTTAGAGAAGCCGATTCCACATAGAGAAAGCTAATGAGAATAATAATGGTAATGAATGTTCTAGAAATAAAAATAATAAGAGGAACCTCTATCTTAATAATCTTAATAAAAGAATCTTAATAAAAAATTACCTAAACAAAAAAATTAAAACAATATCTATATATCTAATAAAAAAAGCATCACTAGCATATCAAAATTAAATAAACACAATGTCTGAATTTAATTTTACCTACATAATGTCAAAAGAAAAATAAATTTTAATTTCTAATAAAACTGTACTAGTCAGCTTAATCCTAAAATGTGAATATC